AAATCTTTAAAACTTAATTTTTTTGCAATAAAAACATTTTTTTTTACTTGCCTTTTTTTTCATCATATAGGGGACACAAAGTCCCCTATGTGATGATATTTAGCTGACAGGTTCTCTTTACCTTGCATGTCTCCTCTGGCCTCTACTCAATGTATTGCAATGCTGAGAAAGTAACAGCGGTGACTCGGAAGTGACGTCACACACGTCACCATCCAGGTGAAAAAAAGAATGGGAGTAGTTTATCTGCTCTCCTCTCTCCCCTCCATCCATGCCATTTGGCCATGGTGCTCTCTGGGCTCCCACATGGGGCCTGAATACATGGCTGGAGTGTGCACGAGAAGGGGGGCGCCAGTACCGAAGCGCTGTGGAGGCAATTGGGCAGGAGCGCAGCCATCCCACTGCTTCCACCTGACAGGTGAGAGTCTACCTGTCAGTTGTATACACAATCCCGGACACATGGCGGGAGTCTGCACGGGAGCCACCAGTACTGGGGGCTGTGGAGGCAATCAGATCGCAGCGCAGCCACCCGACTGCTTCCATCTGACAGGTGGGAGTCTGCCAGTCAGTTGTATACACAATCCCGGATACATGGGGGGGTGTGCGCGGGGAGCCACCAGTACCAGGGGCTGTGGAGGCAATCGGATGGCAGCGCAGCCACCCGACTGCTTCCATCTGACAGGTGGGAGTCTGCCTGTCAATTGTATACACAATCCTGGTGGCTGCAGCCACAGGAATGTGTATAACCCCCCCCCCCCCCCGCTGTCAAAAACCATACGATATACTAAAGTCCGCTGTCAGCTGACGTCGCTCAGCCAGTCCAGGCTAGGGAAAAATCCCAGCTTTAAAGTCAGGATCCACCCAAATGTCTGGACAGGCACCTAGCTCAGCCTGTCAGCAGCTACTGGGGGCCTGAGACAGCCACTCCCGGGGCGGGCGGGGTTACCAGAGCAGACTGGTTTCTGCTCAGAGAGGCAGGGAGAACTGAGCGATCAGCGGTGTTTGAACGCTCAGTTCTCACCCTTAGAGCTGGCTAGGGACAGATACTGCTGCATCCACCTAGGTAAGTATGATTTAAAAAAAAAAAAGATACAGTACTTCTCTTTTAAAGACTAAGCAGTTTGTTGTTATTGGTCAAACGTTTTTGTAAATTTTAAAGGCATCATTAATATTTTTAGGACTTTCTTACATCACAATCCCCACATCCGCTATTTATTTCTGCATGTGCATTTACAATGTGTTTTCAGTGCATTTACAGAGCATTTTTTTTTATTATTTGAATTTTTTTACTAGGTTGCATTGATTTGTGTTTGTATGCCTTTGTAGTGAGTTTACAGTGCATTTATGTACACGTGTTTGCAGTATGTTCCAGTAAGGAGAATGCAGCATGCTGTACTTTTTTTCTTTTTACAGGCACAGGAAAGCACTACGATGGTGTAAAGAAGGCTCCATGAAATATATTTAAAAGAGATACAATTGTATCTGCCACATATCAATTGAAATCCACTTCCCCTTGTGTGTTATACTGTTTGAATGGGATGTGGACTATAGATCAATCATTCCTACTAGGAGAGATCAATTGAAAAAGAAATCGATTATTGAAGTGTGTATGGCCACTTTGGACAGGTGTATTCAGGTCCCAGTCCGACTCCTCTTGAGCGAGCCCACCAGGAAGCTGTCACCTGTGCTGACCAATCATAAACGGCTAAGGCATTCCCCACCTTGCAGCCACCCGTACACAATGGCCATGTCTACATGTGGGGCAGGAAATACTGCAGCTGCTTATGATTGACTTAGTACAGGTGACATCTTCAAGGTGGGCTTGCTCAGGTTCTAGGAGACCTGGATTCACTGATGTTTCCCGCCAAGCAGGCCGAAGGTCCCACCCCACTCCTTCTTGAGATAGGGTACACACATACCTGTCTTTAAGAGAAACTCCACCATCACACAAAACTCCAGGCCTAAGGCCCCCCACCTCACAATGGAGAGAGGATGGGGGAATTGTTTAGATATCCAAGTTCTGAGTTATTTGCACCAAATTGTTCTGTGCAAAAGGTCTGGAGGTTAATACGAAGAATGGCTGTACATACTGTTAAATTGTTGTTTACAGTAAAACATTGGAAAAGCATCTTGTGTGGGCATTGTTTTTCCCTGTGGTGTGCTCATTTCATAAAACTCTGGACACTTTGTTGGAGATACTTGGTGTGCTGGAGACATATCTCTTGTTCTGGGATGAGATCCTTGATGTGCTGGAGACATATCTCTTGTTCTGGGATAAGATCTTTGGTGTGCTGAGGACTATCTCTTGTTTTGGGATGAGATCCTTGGTGTGCTGGAGAGACTGCTCTTGTTCCGGGATGAGATCCTTGGTGTGCTGGAGAAACTGCTCTTGTTCTGGGATGAGATCCTTGGTGTGCTGGAGAGACTGCTCTTGTTCTGGAATGAGATCCTTAGTGTCCTGGCAACATATCTCTTGTTCTGAGTTGAGATCCTTGGTGTCCTGGAGACATATTACTTGTTCTGGATTGAGATTCTTGGTGAGCTGGCAACATATCTCTTTTTCTGGGTTGAGATCTTTGATGTGCTGGAGACATAGCTCTTGTTCTGGGATGAGATGCTTGGAGTGCGGAAGACATATCTCTTGTTCTGGGTTGACATCTTTGGTGTGCTGGAGACATATTTCTTGTCCAGGGATGAGATCCTCAGTGTGTAAAATGAAAGAGTGGGGTCAGTGCACGCTAAAGGGCACAGTGCGCAAACGTCGCCAACTGTCTGCAGAGTCAATAGCCAAAGACCTCCAAACTTCATGTGGCCTTTAGATTAGCACAACAGCAGTGCGTAGAGAGAGCTTCATGGAATGGGTTTCCATGGCTGAGCAGCTGCATGCAAGCCTTACATCACCAAGTGCAATGCAAAACGTCAGATGCAGTGCTGTAATCATGCCGCCACTGGACTTCAGAGCAGTGAAGACATGTTCTCTGTAATGACAAATCAGGCTTCTGTCTGGCAATCCGATGGACATGTCTGGGTTTGGCAGTTGCCATGAGAATGGTACTTGCCTGACTGCCTTGTGCCAAGTGTAAAGTTTGGTGCAGGAGAGATTTTGGTGTGGGGTTGTTTCTCAGGGGTTGGGCTTGGCCGCTTAGTTCCAGTGAACACAAGTGTACAATCCAATCCAATCACACACATTCCTGCGTTAAGAATGGCTGTGTGTATAACTGGGTGCCGCAGCGACCGTCGGCTGGAACCGAACAGAATCAGCAAGGGAGAATGTCACCAGCACACCGAGGATCACCAATATGGGTCCAAAAATTTTAATGAAGGATCACATAGTTACAGCAAGGCAGCGTTTCAGAGTCTTGCAGGACCCGTTCATTAGGCATGTGACATGCCTGATGAGCGGGTCCTGCGAGACTCTGAAACATTGCTTTGCAGTAACTATGTGATTGTTTATTAAAACCTTTGGACCCATATTGGTGATCCTCGGTGTGCTGGTGACATTCTCCCTTGTTTGTTCCAGTGAAGGGAACTCTTAAGGCGTCAGCATACCATGACATTTTGGACACTTTCATGCTCCTAGGATTGAGATCCTTTGTGTACTGGAGACATACAGTATCTACTGTTCTAAGTTGAGATCCTTATTGTCCAGGACATACTTTATATCTCTTGTTCTAAGTTGAGATCCTTATTGTCCAGGACATACTTTATATCTCTTGTTCTAAGTTGAGATCCTTATTGTCCAGGACGTACCGTATATCTCTTGTTCTAAGTTGAATCCTTAGCGCCCTGGACGTACTGTATATCTCTTGTTCTAAGTTGAACCCTTAGCGTCCTGGACGTACTGTATATCTCTTGTTCTAAGTTGAACCCTTAGCGTCCTGGACGTACTGTATATCTCTTGTTCTGAGTTGAGATCCTTAGCGTCCTGGACGTACTGTATATCTCTTGTTCTGAGTTGAGATCCTTAGCGCCCTGGACGTACTGTATATCTCTTGTTCTGAGTTGAGATCCTTAGCGTCCTGGACGTACTGTATATCTCTTGTTCTAAGTTGAGATGCTTTGTGTGCTGGAGACATATCTCTTGCTGTGGGTTGAGATCCTTGGTGCCCTGGAGACATAACTCCTAGTCCACAATTGTGTGCAATGCGGGAGGCTAAAGCAGGTGGTGAGATGGACATATAACACATCTTCACTGCCCGTCAAATGCCCTCTGAAGAAAGATCCAAGCGTGGATTGCTTTTCAGAGCCCAAAGCCAGTGTGAAGGAGCCCCTAGACAGAGAAAGGATATGATTGTTAGGAGGGTGACCCCCCTGCCTTGCATTCCCTGTTTGTATAGCTCAGGCTGTGGAGACATGGTCTTTGGAAGGAGTTGTCCAGGAGGGAGGTGCAGGGACATTGTTGCCAAGCAGAGTGCTGAGCCTTTTCCTGGATAACGGGTCTGTGTGAGAGGAAGGAGGGCGGGATCACAGAGGGAAACACACAGAAAAGTCACCAAAGAAAAGTTGGAGCTAAGATGGCTGCTGGGGAGAGGAGAGGATGGTGAACCCCAGCCGTGTGAAGCCCCAGCCGCCCCCCGATCTAGACGGAGAGGAGAGGAAGAAGAGAAGGAAGGGCGATCTAGAGATGAAGACGGCACCCTCCTCCTCCTCCTCCCCCAGCCTGCCGGCCCGGGTCATGTTGGAGATGGACACCCTCCCCAGACAAGAGGCGCCCCCCGGGGGGGCCACCCCGTCCCCTCTCTCCTCCTGTTCCCGGCAGGCCTGGAGCCGAGACAACCCGGGCTTCGAGGCGGAGGAGGACGGCATGGAGGAAGAAGAGGAGGACGGGGAGGAGGGCACGGTGGTGGAGATGGATGTGGAGTGGCACCCCTCTGCCGGACATGCCCGGAGGTCTTCCTCTCTGGTGTCCTCCAGTAGTGGGGGCAGTACCGGCCTGGTGGGCTATCACCCTAATAATAATATGGGGGGGCAGAGGGGGAGGAGGAGGAGAGGGGAGCCGGGCACTGCAGCTGGTACAACCACCCATGGAGCTGAGCACACTCCGGAGCTGGAAGGCTGGGGGAGGATCCTGCACACCCTACGAGGTAACCTACAGTGGGAGAGATGACACCAGCCAGTCCTCATGCACACTGGACGTTGTACAGTGGCTGATTTTCTCTTTTATCCAGGGTTCACATATATGTGTGCGTGGTATATCACATGTGATTCACACCGCATTCCTGTACAAATCACATGCGATTTGTGTGCGTTGCGATCAGAGTCATACATTTTGTATGGTTCTAATCGCACCGCACCAAAAACATGCAGGACCCTTTTTTTTTTGGTCCGCACTAGAATCTGATCACGTGTATTCACACCCATGCGATCCAATTCTTCACATCGCACCGCGTTTTGCAGACCACTTTCAGGGTGTTGTTAACATACCCACCGCAGCGGTTTGCATGAACGGGGTGCGATTCTGATGCGGTGCAGAATACACTGCGAATTCCACACCACATCAGTGTGAACCAGGGCTTAGCGGTTTTTGCAGGAAAAAAACCTTAGAGCTAGTGGGTGTCTAGAGTTATTTGGCTGTAAAAACGCTCTCATGCTGTAAAACGCGGCAAATTAGAATTTTTTTTTTTACTTTTTTTTGAGCAAAAAACATGGAAAAACGCTAATGCAAAAAACACTGAAACCGTGCGTTTTTAACGTGACTTTACACAGCTAACGCTACCAGAGTTATTAAAACGCCCCGTGTGCATGGAGCCTAATGGAAGTCTATCTGCTGTTCATACATAAGGCTACTTTTTGCTGAGTTTTCTTACAGGGCATATGACTCAGAAACTGCACCAAAAACGCAACGCGGGTGTGTTTGGGATGCAGTTGTGATGTTTTCCATTGATTTCAATGAGGAAGTGCGGTTTTTTTTTTTTTTCCAGCAAGCAGGATTTTAAAAAACGCATGGTACCTACAATGGATCAGTGTGAAGAGTTCTATAGGATTACATGGTCACACATTTGTCTTCCGCTTTTTTTTTAAAGCGAAAAGAAAAATGGACTAGTGTAAAAACCGCCTATGAGTTCAGTCCAGTGCTCCCTGCTTAGGCTTCATGTACACGGGGCGTTTTAATAACGCTGGTAACGTTAGCTGTGTAAAGTCACGTTAAAAACACACTTTTTTTGCTTTTTTTTTATTCGCGTTTTGCTGCGTTTTTTTTTTTGCATTTGCATTTTTTTAGAGGGTTTTTTTGACCAAAAATTAAAAAAAAAATTTCTAGTAAAAAAAAAAAAAACGTTAAAAAATGCTGGTTTGCCATGATTTACCGGATTTTGCCGCATTTATCAGCAACTGAAAAACTCCTCTAGAAAGCAAGTAGTACTCTTCTTTTTTTTTTTTTTTTTTTTTTTTTTCTTCCTGCCAAAAAACATTGATTACAGTCTGTATGCATGGACACATAGGATAACATGCTGGGGGGTTTACTGGCTGTAGAAATAAAACGTCAAAAGCCAAAAACAGCAGCTGTAAAAACGTCCCGTGTGCATGAGGTCTTATGGAGGAAAGGGTGACTGGGCACCTAAAGAGTCTCTGTATAGCTATGTGTAATTTACTTTAACCACTTGCCTTCCAGAGGATTTACCCCCCTTCCTGACCAGGCCATTATTTTAACTGACAATTGCGCGGTCGTGCAATGCTGCAGCCAAATGAAATTTTGCAACAAAAGAGTGGGGATTCTCATGACATCATTGACCTAATATGGACATATTATGTCAGCAATGTCATGAGCATCCCCGCCCCTTTGTTACATGATGCTGTGGGGCAGGTAATCTGCCACCTGCATCTCATTGGGTGGCAGAGATGCAATGTCATTGTCCCTGTATGGGAATGTGGCCTTATTAGGTAAATGATGCCAAGAACATCCTCACCCCTTTGTATACATGCAGGGTAGGGAATCTCCCGCCTGAATCTCATTGGCTCGGTGGGGATGCAGTGTCACTGTTTTGAGCATCCCTGCCCCTTTGCATACAACCAGCTGCAGGGCTGGATCTCCCGCCACCGTCTCAGGCTGCATTCATACTTCAGTGTTTTGTAGCTCGAAGCTCCAAAAACACTTAAACTTAAAAAAATTTGCAGGATCAGGTGTGAACAGGCACCATAGAGAACAATTGATTTCTTTACGTTTGAGCTTTTTTGGAGTTTTCGAGCTTCAAGCTACAAAATGTAGCCAAAAAGTTGTTGTAAAGGCTGAAGGTTTTTTACCTTCATGCATTCTTTGTTTCTATTATAAAATTTTGAAACAGGTAATTTTTCTCCTTCACTGATGTGCGTTGATGATGCTGCACTGATAGGCTGCACTGATGAGGCTGCACGGATAGGCTACACTGATGAGGTGGCACTGGTGGGCATTGATGAGGAGGCACTGATGGGCGCTGACTGGCGGCGCTGCTGGGCGGCACTGCAGGGCACTGATCATCTGTGCCCTGATGATCAGTGCCAATCTGCTCTCTGTGACAGCTGTCGGTTATCGGCAGAGCTTTACTCACAGCGTGAGGAAAGTGCTGTTGATATCCGGCAACTGTGCTTACTTGGTGATCTGCTGTGTCATTGGACACAGCTGATCACGTGGTAAAAGGCCACTGTGATTGTCTTTACGTGATCAGCAATGTACGTAGGATTTACAAATGGTATAGTTTCATATGGTATTCTTACTTTTTTATGAATTATCATATTTGGTTAGCACCTACATTTTATTCACTTCACAAATAGGAAAGTATTGACTTTGATGCCACATTGATGCGACTTTGGATGGGTGCGTCTTTGATGCAGCTTTGGATGGGTGCGACTTTGGTGCAACTTTGGATGGGTGCGACTTTGATGAAACTTTGGATGGGTGCGACTTTGATGAAACTTTGGATGGGTGCGACTTTGATGCAACTTTTTTCTAATAGGAAAGTATGACAGTTGTGTTCATGTAGTGCGACTTTGATGCAGATTTACACTCTAGCACTCAAGTAGCATCAAATTCGCATCCACGTTGAGCCCATTCAAAGCTGCATCAATGTCAATACATTCCTATTGGCAAAAAGCCCCTGCAGAACAGGTTAAAAAAAAACCTTGCTCAAAAATACACCGCAAAATGTGCTGGAGAAATGCATCCATTGCAATATGCAGAGGTGTGGACCAAGCCTTACTTGGCTGCAGTGAAATCATAGTGGACACTTCAGGCTCAGTGCCAGCCCCCAGCTAAGTGGCGCTAGTGGCCTTACAGGTGGTGTACCCGTGGATGAGCATCATTTTCTCCTTCCATAGGAATGTGCATGAGGCAGGAAAAAATGAGCAAGTTTCAACACTCTGAAAGTCCTGTAGAACAACCTGGCATTTAGCCATTACTGCAGAGCAGTGGAGGCTGCTGCAGTTATACACATGCATGCAGAGTGGTTAGGAGTATGGTGTGACAGTAGAAGCAGCATCAAAGCATAGGTAACGCTGGTCATACACATTACATTCAAATTGTACAATCTCTGTCCAATCATCTTTAGAGCTACCAAAGCTATGTGATATATTGTCTATCTTAACAATCCATTTTGTATCCCATCTAGCAGGCATTACATAGTAGTTAGTACAAATCAGAAATCTGGTACTAAACCAGATTGTAACATGTATGGCCACCTTTCGGGTCACTCCATGGGAGGGTTAGACTGATATTTCTTAACCGATTCCTGACCGCCCTATAGCAGAACTACTGCTACAGGGCGGCATGGATGCACAAAATCACATGTGTGTATATATACAGGATTTTGTATTTCCATTGGCAGCTACAGCTGTCGATCACCAGGTCCCGGCCAGAGATTCCCAGCAGCATCTGGCAATTGCCGAGGAACACTGACGGGGGAGAGGTCTGTATGTAAACAATACAGATTTCTTCTCTGTCAGTTCCAGCATGCTGCTTTGTATTGCTCTGCATAGCAAAGCAATACAAAGCAGCATGCTTACACAGTAAAACACAGCGAACAGTTAAGCCTTTGATCGCCCCAGATGTTAACTCCTTCCTGCCCAGTGTCATTAGTACAATGTCAGTGCTTTTTATTCGCACTGATCACTGTATTAGTGTCACTGGGGATGTCAGTGACAGTCAGTCCCCCCCAGTGTCAGAATGCCTGCCGCAGTCACGCTACAAGTCGCTGAACGCAGGCATTACCAGTATAAAAAAAAAATTTCCAGTATATAATATACCGCCATTTGTAGACACTATAATTTTCACGTAAACCAATTAATTTACACGTATTGGGATATTTTTTAGCAAAGACGTGTAGCGGAATACATTTTGGCCTAAATTTATGACGAAATTTGATTTTTTTTTTTTACTGGATATGTTTTATAGCAAAAAGTAAAAAAATTGTTTTGTTCTTTTTTTTCAAAATTGTCGGTCTTTTTTTGTTTATAATGCAAAAAAAATAAAAAATAAAAAATGCACAGGTGATCAAATAACACTGAAAGAAAGCTCTATTTGTGGGGAAAAAAAAATGACAAATTTAATTTGGGTGCATCATTGCATGACCACGCAATTGTCATTTTAAAGTAACGCAGCGATGTATCGCAAAAAATGGCCTGGTTAGTTTTGGAAAGAGTGGCGAGGTATTAGAATTCCTGTCAATTTTTATTGCTATCTGTGCTCCTGTTAAGTAAATTCACCCTCTCTATTTGTCCTGTTTTCCATTATCATTGAAAGTAAAAGATAATCCAAAATTTTGGGTTGTCCCCTGAAAAGTAATAGAGGGGAAATTTGTAGGGATTTCCTCTCGCTTCCTATTTGGCTATGGGACAGGAAGTGAAGGGAAATCTTTGCAATTGGACACAAGTGGTTGAACAAAATATGTGACGGGTTATAACCCTCCCTTGTTCTATCCAAAATGGAAAAAAAAAGTTTTGCTTATACTTCTACTTTAATGGTTTCGATTCCATATGCTGTTATGAAAAAACAGTAAAGAAAATGAAAAAATAAGTTTTATCTATAGTTCTACAGGTGTATCTCAATAACTTCCAATATCATCAAAAAGTTAATTTATTTTAGTAATTCAATTCAAAAAGTGAAACTCATATATTATATAGATTAATTACACACAGTGATATATTTCAATCATTTCTTTCTTTTAATTTTGATGATTATGGTTTACAATTAGTGAAAACCCAAAATTCTGTATCTCAGAAAATTAGAATATTGGGAAAAAGTTCAATATTGTAGACTCGTGGGGTTTATTTACTAAAGCTGGAGAGTCCAAAATCAGACTCACTTCTGCATAGAAACCAATCAGCTTCCAGGTTTCATTGCCAAAGCTTCATTGAACAAGCTGAGGTTAGAAGCTGATTGGTTTCTATGCAGAAGGGAGTCTGATTTTGGACTCTCCAGCTTTAGTAAATAAACCCCATGGTGTCACACGCTAATCAGCTAATTAACTCAAAACACCTTTAAAGGTTTCCTGAGCCTTTAAATGGTCTCTCGGACTGGTTCAGTAGGTTTCAGGGAGAAGACTGCTGACTTGACAGTTGTCCAGAAGACAGTCATTGATACCCTCCACAAGGAGGGTAAGTCACAAATGGTCATTGCTAAAGAAGCTGTCTGTTTGCAGAATGCTGTATCCAAGCATATTAATGGAGAGTTGAGTGGAAGGAAAAAGTGTGGTAGAAAAAGGTGCACAAGTAACAGGGATAATTGTAGCCTTGAGAGGATTGTGAAGCAAAGGCCATTCAAGAACTTGAGGGAGATTCACAAGAAGAGGACTACGGCTGGTGTCAGTGCTTCAAGAGCCACCACACACAGATGTATCCAGGACATGGGCTACAACTGTCACATTCCTTGTGTCAAGTCTCTGCTGAACCAGAGACAATGTCAGAATTGTCTTACCTGGGCTAAGGAGAACAAGGACTGGACTGTTGCTCAGTGGTGCAAAGTCCTGTTTTTGAAAGTAAATTTTGCATTTCATTTGGAAATCAAGGTCCCAGAGTCTGGAGTAAGAGTGGAGAGGCACAGAATCCAAGTTCCGTGAGGTCCAGTGTGAAGTTTCCACACTCCTTGATGATTTGGGGAGCCATGTCATCTGCTGGTGTTGGTCCACTGTGTTTTATCAAGTCCTAAGTCAGCACAGCCTTCTACCAGGAAATTCTAGAGCTCTTCATGCTTCTCTCTGCTGACCATCTTTATGGAGATGCTGATTTAATTTTCCAGCAGGACTTGGCACCTGTCCACACTGCCAAAAGTACCAATACCTGGTTTAATGATCATGGTATCACTGTGCTTGGTTGGCCAGCAAACTTGCCTGACCTAAATCCCATAGAGAGTCTGTGGAGTATTGTCAAGAGGAAGATGAAAGACACCAGACCCAACTGAAGGCTGCTATCAATGCAACCTGGCCTTCCATACCACCTCAGCAGTGACACAGCCTGACGCCTCCATGCCACGCCACATTGATGCAGTAATTCATGCAGAAGAAGCCCCGACCAAGTATTGGGTGCATATACTATACTGTATATGGACATACTTCTCCGTAAGCCAACATTTCTGTGTTAAAAATCCTTTTTTTTTTTTTTTTTTTATGTAATCTAATTTTCTGAGTTACTTAAAGTTTGGGTTTTCACTAGTTGTAAGCCATAATCATCAAAATTAAAAGAAATGTTTGAAATATATCACTCTGTGTGTAATGAATCCTATAGAATATATGATATGGTTTCTGATGATATTCTAATTTGAGATGCACCTGTACTTGAATGATTTCCATTCCATATGTATGCAACTCAGGTGTGGTCGGGTGCCATTCAAAATGAATTAACCTGCAAATCAGTAATATGCATAACATGCGTTGCCACATATTTCAGTACTTGAATACAGCTTAACAGTTCTTAGATGTAGTGGCTGTATTTCTTTTTCTATTTATTCTTGATTTCCATCTGGTGATTCTGTCAGTAACACCCTTCCTGTCTTAGGGTGACAACGCTAACTGTACTGCACCTGTGAAGGAGCAGCGATAGGCTGTTCATTCCTTATTTGCACTACAGAACACCTCCTCCTCTCCTTTTTCTATGACCGAGTGGGGAAATGTTCTGTAGTTCACATAGGCAAACTAAACAGAGCTGATAACACTGCATGGCATTTCAGTCCAGCAGAGGAACAGTGTTGTCAGCCCACTACAGAAAATTATCAGCCCTCTGGATTTCTGGCAGGACAAACAGGTATTTTTCACACTTATCAAACAGAGCTGAGAAAATGCTTTTGGGGTAAATTTAACTGACCAAAAAGGAGAAAATAGAAGTTCATTAGAGTTTACATATACTTTAAGTATTAGTTATTTCTTACATTTCCTTTGCCTTCCTGTGTAGGTCTTTGGGGCACAAGATACACAGAAGACCGCATAACTACCAGAGAGAAGTACCTGAAGAGTGTGCTCCGTGAGCTTGTCACCTATGTGGTGTTTCTGATCATCTTATGTATTCGTAAGTATAAGGTTCCTATGGTCAGATTACCAAAAACCGTTAAATACATGTGTGACCTGCATTACAGCCCCTAATATTTGGAATTCTATTTATTTAATGTACACATCTTACCAGGCTGCATAGCCAGGCCGGTCACTCAACATTTCACTATTGCAGCTCTGCGGTTTCACTCACCTTCCTTTTCATTGGACCTCACACTACTCCTGTAAGCTACCAAAGCACCTACCTGTTTGGTGACCAGCAGTTGTGTTAGCGTTGTGACTAAGAGAACGATCCTAAGTATTAAAACCAATATTGCAGTTTTACAGTTTTTTTTTTCTTTTTTTATGACGTGTACAGTTTTTACTGTATGTATGTGCACCCATACATACATGGGAGTGTAGGGCACTCTTAGGTCCCGTTTACACTTCTTTGTTCCGGTGCATTGCAATAACATGGGTTAGCATGTTGTGGTGTTGTTCATTCACGGCACATGTTGCATTGCACTGCAACTCATGGTAACGAACTACTGTGCATTATGGGGTTTTTCGGAAAACAAAATTGCTGCTTGTCCATTTGGTGCAATGACAGTCCATTCATTTGAAATGGCTGCCTGAACTCAATCCACAGTGATACAAGAAGTTTTAATGCAACACGCCAGAACATGCTCAGTGAGAATGGTTCACATGCCAATGCAGTTTGCTTTAGATCCATTTTTTGCATTGCTTTTTGCATTTCGCTTTGCGTTTTTACCGCATTTTTCTCAGCGTTTTTAATTTTTGTAAAGGGGAAATGGTTTTTGTTGCTGGGCAGAATAAAAATACAAAAACGCACAGCGTCTCCCTTGGACTCCTATTGTAGCAAAAATGCTGCTTTTTGCATTTAAAAAAAGTCCTTCACCCTTTCCAAAAATGCAGAAGCTGAAAAAGGTATAGATGTGAACATGCCGCATAGGAAACTATGTTAAATGGACTGTACTGTGTTTATGCAATAAGCAATAAAAAACGCATTGGTGTGAACCAGGCCTAAAAGTAGTTCTATGAAAGTCAAGCATGTAAATATAAGAGTTCTCTGACCTCTGCCACATGGAAGTCATAAGTATTCCTCCTCCATCCTTCTGGGTGCAACCAACTGGTAAAATATTTACCTTCCTCATTGTGAGCTGCTTTCACTGCTAAGCCCTGATCACACAACTTCTATAGCAAAAACCTCTCCTACAGTTTCTTTTAGCCCTGGTTCACATATATGCGGCTGTGCGGGCTGCGTTTTGCATGGGCACGAGAGCCCATTTATTTGAATGGGCTCCCATGCTCCATGACACGCAGGGAAGAAGTCCCTGCACTTCATTGGAAACCGCAGCCTGCACGGGAACCTCGGTTCCCAGTGTGGTTGCAATTTCCAGTGCGGGAGGCGTGCCATTAGAATTACTGGCACACACCTGGGGGTCCGCATTCTTCTGTGTGGGTGGTGCGGCTGCATGGATTTTTGTGCGGATCTGCAGTGGCATCACCCGCACATATATATATGAACCAGGGCTTTCTGCACATGCATGATGCTGCCCCACTGTAAAATGGCACTGGAGGGTGTCTACAACTGGGGTGGGTTTGGGTTTAGGTTCTTAATAGGTCAGTTATGAACGAAACCTATCTTTATCTATAAAAATAATTTTTCACTGTAAAGTCCTGGCAGGATCAGGGGTTCACATTATCCTTCTTTTTTTCAAAGGGCATAACAAAGTTTGCTTTAGATGGACAATTTCAGGGTTTATGTTAGTGGAATGATCCTTAAAAAAAAAAAATCATGGGTTAGTGTTCTGATTGTGCCTGTGTCTACCTAATGTCTTTAGCTAGCTGGGATTCCTGTCATTTGCAATGAATCTTGGCATGGTTAAGATGATTAAAACAACTTCCTGTCCCTCAGATTGCTCAGTTTTTATTATTATTTTGGTTAATTAGGAAATTAATTATTTTTTATTTTTAGCTCTTGTGTGCACTGCTGCTTAAAAACTCGTTTTGAGGCATACAGACATATATATATTTTTTTTTTACTGATCTAAGTGCAGCCCATTGTTTTCAATGTGCATGTACATGCAGGCACGTAAAACATGTCCTGCATATAGATGAGTAAAAAAAAAAACAACGCAGAAACTTGAATTGCTGGTCAGTATTGTACACGCATATTTGTGCAAATACGTGCATAAAATGTTGAAGAATAAGTTCACCTTTGGGAACATGTTCCACCCGTTTTTAGGTTGGAACATGTAACATGTTCCCATAGCTACAGCCACTGCCCCCTCTATCTCTGACAGGGAAACTTCTCCCCATACCATCTGTCAAATTTGAAAACTGTGGGGCTGTGCCCACACGGTCCACACGGCCGCATCATTCATTCACGGACTTCGTGAATGAATGAACTGCAAGTCCTGACAGCCTTAGCGGCTGTCAGCTTGTAGTTTTTCAATGAACTAGCATGGAGCGCCGTGGTAGTTCATTGAATCTTCCTATCAGAATATCTGCTTGCCCATACATCCCGTAGGGCAAGTAGATATTCTGCCAGGTCTGCAGGAGACCTACATGGCATCAGCAATCTTCTAATCGTTGGCACAATGCTTTCCAGGCTCCTGTAGACAAAAATAATGTGCATTTATTATTTTTGTCTAAAAGGTGAAATTTTTAGAGGTTAAAACTTTCTTTTGGGAGCTAGAATGTATTTTACTCAAGTACAAGCAAATATGCACACAAATACACGCAAAATAAACGCAAGAAATTCAGGCCAGGAATACTGATGTTCAGACATCAGTACTGTGTGCAAGTACCCTTAAAGTGGTTGTAAAGGCTCAAAGTTTTTTACCTTCATGCATTCTATAGATGAAGGTAAAAAAAAAACCTTCTGTGCGTATCAGCCCCACTGCAATCTAGCGATGTCCACCAGAACCTCGGTTCTTCAGGGACTCTCACTCCTGATTGGCTGAGGCAGCAGTGGGAGCCATTGTCTCCCGCTGCTGTCAGTCACAGTCAGTGAGCCAGTCAGGCGAGCCGTGGCTCTGTGTGTGAATAGACACGCAGAGCCGCGGCTCGGGAGCATGCCTGCTCAGGTGCCCTACTAGCAAGTTGCTCGTTATGGGGGCACCCGACAGTAAGGAGGGGCCAGGAGCGCTGGCAGGGGCCCCAAGAAGAGAATGATCGGGGCTGCTCTGTGCAATTCACTGCACAGAGCAGATAAGTATAACGTGTGCTGTTTAACACAAAAAAAAAATATGTAGTATCACTTTAACCAACAAAAGGTAGAATATGCAACTTATTAAAGAATTGTATACAATGGTCAGAGTTATTCTACTGGACAGTTTACTATTTTATTTAAATCGGCTTACACATGCGGTTTGTTACCCATGGAATCTCTGCAAGAAGTGCATTCACTGCTGTTTATGGAGGTTTTTATACAATCAATGTCATTACAAGAATGTCATAAAAGAAACCTTTCTCCACAGAACAGCAGTGGTCAGTGTCTCTCCTTCATGATGTTCATGGAGTGTGAAATTGAGGATGCTTGTGTCATTTTACACTGAATCTATTATTTTTTTTTTTTATCTGTATCTTTTATGGATAGTGTTGATGAAGAGTAAAGATTTTCAGGAAACCCTTTCAGATGACGACCACAACTTATGTGGTCAGTTTATACAAACTGCCAACATATCTGAGTTTCAAGGGACTGGAAAGTATAGAAATCTGCAAAAACTGATGTACATAAATGCATCGTACACATTTTAACTTATTGAGGGTCTCCGGACAGGTTAACGGCTTGTTTTAGGTTGTCAGCCTGACATCACTTTTTGGGAGTTGGGAAGTAAACTGCACATCTATTCTGAGTGACTTTAGACATGCAATGGAGATTAAATTTCCCAATTTTCTCCTTGTATTTTTAGACATGCATAATTTATACATTTGACATCTTGTATATCACTGCTTTTACAGCAGCATGTTTTCAAACTGTACTGGACACTGTTACTGTGGTTTTGAACCCCAGCAATGGCAGTTGAGAGTCAGATTGTGGCCTCCATAGTTGTAAAATGAGAATCTGCATGTTTACTGTGGAGTGACTCCGGTCATCTTAGAGACGCCAGTGTACATTCATATTTTAGGCTTAAAGTGATACTAAACACACACTGTTTAATTTACATTGTCCCTTCTATTTCTGTTCGTGGATGATGGCACTGTAATTATTTTAATTTAAAAAATGTAAGTACCCTTTTCCTAACTGATATACAGCTGTCATATGACCCAGCTCTTTCCCAGCCTATCTGCACAGAAACATAATCAGGAGAAGCTTCTAGTCCTCTGCTTCTGGTCACATGTTCAAAATAAAAATATTCTTTAGAATGCAGAGCGAAAATAATGAATATCAATAAACTGTTTAAAACTGTCATACAAATATATATTTGAAGTCAATTCTTTATTATTTTGTGGAAATACCATGGTGTGGGTGGATTTCTGCCAGTTACAGGCTGTATCATAGAATTTCAGAGAGGCGAAGCCTCCATCAATCTTCATATAATATCACACCCCTATTGTGTTTAGCTGGTTAGTGGGCATGGAGGAGGAGAGAGGGAGTGGTCTGTTATTTACCAATGTGTATATGCCCACATGTGTGGCTCTATAGATATTCACATGGGCTGCTCAGATGTGATATGAAGGAAATGCTCAGCATAGAAATTCACTGAATACTGAGCATGTGCAGAGCTCACAATACTGCTCTGCAAAATCCCTAGCTGCACTGGGGACATGGGGGAGATAGAGAGCAGCCAGATCAACCAGGTTTTTTTACAAAATACAAATCTCAGTGACGGAATGAGTATGAACAGCATGTAATATAGCATTTATTGATAGTTTTTTATGATGTGGGTTTTAAGGAAGCATTCTAATGGCAAGAAGGAAAACAAAACTGCAGACATCTTAAAGCTGAACTCCAGAACCCTGGGTGGAAGCTAGAGGTCTGACATTGTGGTCAACTCGCATACTGTAACTGATATTCCCAGTGGACCAGTCTATGGGTTCCTGGGCCAGACCCTACTATTGTACCTACGTGTATAGAGAAAAGGCTTCTAAGGTCTATGTGGGAAGGTATCTTGCCCCTTTTCTCTTTCCCTATCTTGTCCTAGTCCATTAAGTTTGACCCTTAAAGCGGTGTTCAACCCAAAAACAACATTTGTTATATTGCAGCTTACCAATTCTTACACGTGATGGCTTCATTAGTTTTTTTTTTTTTTGTGGTTTCTTCCCTTTTATTTTCATCTGCTGATCCTGCCAGTAAATCTGTTGTTTTTTCAAAAGAACAAGTTCTTCTGCAAATATAGCAGTTAGAGTGATGATACAATCCATTTACCACTGACGGGTGTTCACAATGGTTAGCTTTTATTTCTCTATGTAAAAACTTTAATCCAAAATAAAAAAAAAAACTGTAACTGCAGTGTGATCTGGATTTCAGCTTCAATGTTAGTGTATTTAAATCTACTAGTCCATCTAATACTCCCCTCCTCCCAGACTGTCAATGCTGTTGTGCAAATACAGGAGGTTTGTTACTGGCCAGATCACCAGGTGAAAACAGAGGCAACATTGTATACATTCAGTACTTCTGTTCAAACAAAATGTATTTGACACCTATACTGTGTAAACTCTTCAAAATCAAAGCCAAAGTAAAAGAAAACAGAGGGGGAAAAAAGCCTAAAAAAGAAAACTAATGCAGTCACCACAATGAGAAAATCGGACGAGCAATACTGCTGGGGTGATCGTAATTTAAACGTTAGTACGCAGCTTTTGAGAGATGATCACGACAGCTCATGTGAAGTTATCTGAAGGAACTAGCACGAAAATATTTCTTTAGCTTTAGAGAGACTATCACGACAGTTCATTAGTCTGTAAAAAAATCAAGTGACCAAGATCGGTCATGCTCGGTAACGAAAGAATACATTACAGCGCAATACATTACATCATCGTGGAAAGTTCTATTCTGTCTTACAAGAATGTTTGCGCATTTTTTTATGTGTGTGTGTGTATATACATACATACATACATATATATATATATATCGTATTTTTCGCTCCATAAGATGCACTTTTTTCCCCCCCAAAAAAGGGGGGAAAATGTCTGCGTCTTATGGAGCGAATATGGAGCGGTCGGTCCGGTATTTCCACCGCCGCCGTGTCAGAATACCGGGCCGGCCGCTCAGCTCTGCAGCGGGACCTTACCTGTTCCTCTATCCAGCGGCGCGCTGTCTTCCCGGCTTCTGTAGTGTGGGCGGCTCGGTTTGACAGCCGGGTGCCCAGTGTGCATGCGCGAGAAGCGGTGCGCTTTGTGAATGGTAAGGCGGCACCTGGGACACATGACAGGTCCCAGAAGCCGCCTGACCAATCACAAAGCGCAGCGCTTCTCGCTCATGCGCACTGGGCACCCGGCTGTCAAACCGAGCCGCCCACACTACAGAAGCCGGGAAGACAGCGCGCCGCTGGATAGAGGAACAGGTAAGGTCAAACAACTCCGCGGAAGTAAGAGCGGGTACCCGCTCCCCCCCCTCCCCAAAGGTCAGCAGTCATCTCCTGTACTGTCCACAGTCTCTGGTCATCTCCTGTACTGTCCGCAGTCTCTGGTCATCTCCTGTACTGTCCGCAGTCTCTGGTCATCTCCTGTACTGTCCACAGTCTCTGGTCATCTCCTGTACTGTGTCCGCAGTCTCTGGTCATCCCCTGTACTGTGTCCGCAGTCTCTGGTCATCTCCTGTACTATGTCCGCAGTCTCTGGTCATCTCCTGTACTGTGTCCGCAGTCTCTGGTCATCTCCTGTACTGTGTCCGCAGTCTCTGGTCATCTCCTGTACTGTCCGCAGTCTCTGGTCATCTCCTGTACTGTGTCCGCAGTCTCTGGTCATCTCCTGTACTGTGTCCGCAGTCTCTGGTCCATCTCCTGTACTTTGTCCGCAGTCTCTGGTCCATCTCCTGTACTATGTCCACAGTCTCTGGTCATCTCCTGTACTGTGTCCGCAGTCTCTGGTCATCTCCTGTACTGTGTCCGCAGTCTCTGGTCTTCTCCTGTACTGTGTCCGCAGTCTCTGGTCATCTCCTGCACTGTGTCCGCAGTCTCTGCTCATCTCCTGCACTGTGTCCGCAGTCTCTGCTCATCTCCTGTACTGTGTCCGCAGTCTCTGCTCATCTCCTGTACTGTGTCCGCAGTCTCTGCTCATCTCCTGTACTGTGTCCGCAGTCTCTGCTCATCTCCTGTACTGTGTCCGCAGTCTCTGGTCATCTCCTGTACTGTGTCCGCAGTCTCTGGTCATCTCCTGTACTGTGTCCGCAGTCTCTGGTCATGTCCTGTACTGTGTCCGCAGTCTCTGCTCATCTCCTGTACTGTGTCCGCAGTCTCTGCTCATCTCCTGTACTGTGTCCGCAGTCTCTGCTCATCTCCTGCACTGTGTCCGCAGTCTCTGCTCATCTCCTGCACTGTGTCCGCAGTCTCTGCTCATCTCCTGCACTGTGTCCGCAGTCTCTGCTCATCTCCTGCACTGTGTCCGCAGTCTCTGCTCATCTCCTGCACTGTGTCCGCAGTCTCTGCTCATCTCCTGCACTGTGTCCGCAGTCTCTGCTCATCTCCTGCACTGTGTCCGCAGTCTCTGCTCATCTCCTGCACTGTGTCCGCAGTCTCTGCTCATCTCCTGCACTGTGTCCGCAGTCTCTGCTCATCTCCTGCACTGTGTCCGCAGTCTCTGGTCATCTCCTGCACTGTGTCCGCAGTCTCTGGTCATCTCCTGTACTGTGTCCGCAGTCCCTGGTCATCTCCTGTACTGTGTCCGCAGTCTCTGCTCATCTCCTGTACTGTGTCCGCAGTCTCTGGTCATCTCCTGTACTGTGTCTGCAGTCCATTAGTTCAGAATATTTTTTTTTCCTGTTTTCAGCCTCTAAAACCTAGGTGCGTCTTATGGTCAGGTGCGTCTTATGGAGCGAAAAATACGGTATATATATATATATATATATATATATATATATATATATATGTATGTATATGTGTGTATGTATGTATGTATGTTCGTTTTCAATATGAGACTAGCATATAAAAAAGAAAAGTGGGCGATCATTCGTCTGACATTCTCATCGTGTGTAGGAGGCTTATTTATTGGTAAGTTGCAATATATTAAATTTTTGGTTTTGGGTTTAATATCGCTTTAGTTATGAAAGAAAAAAGGCAAGTTGGTCTTGAAAGGTTTATGTATAATAGCATTTAGCTTTTCATAGGAAAATATGTAAATTTGGACACTGAGATGTTCTTCAATGGCTGTTCCTAGGTCTAGGTTCACACCTATGCATTTTCTGCAGTCCATTTAATATGATTTCCTATGGGACAGGTTCACACCGCTTTTTCACCCGGTGCATTTTTTGGAAAGGGTCAGGGACTTTTTTTAAACACAAAACATTGAGTTTTTGGTTCTATAGACTTCAATGGAGACGCTGTAGAAAAGCATGTAGTGTGTTTTTTGACACTTTTTTTTTTTTTTTTTTTTTTTTTTTTAATCTGCCTAGTAACAAGAAAAAAAAACGCAAAATGCATCAAAAACCTGTGCAAAAAATGCAAAACACACCGCAAAATGCACTGCAGAAACAGATCAAATGCAAACTGCATAGGTGTGAATCTAGCCTAAGGGAGTTATGAGAAGCATGTTCTGAGCTGCTATGTACACAGATGGTTCTCCTGCAGAGCCCCCCACGATTTCACTCTCTTAGTCTGTGCTCTCCTACTGAGTTGGTTAGTGTTTTACTACATATTTATTAATAAGTCACTCAGGTGAAGCTCTGGAGACTCGGCATTGGCAGTCTGCCTACAAAGACTTCTCTAATCAGTGATGGGTGAGGTCAGGCATTTTTGTGGCTTTTTTTTTTCAGCAGTGAACTGTAATACCAATGTGTTGTTTACTATAGATAACAGGTCACAAGGACCAATTACACATGGAGGGTGATTCTACCCCAAAAGTGGCATTTCAGATTCAGGCGGATGGAGGTGGGTTGAACCAACCAATGGCTTCTTGCATTTCTCCATTCTATGACAGCAAGGTTTGAGTTTCTGTGTCCTCCAACCTGTCCCAGCCATTACAATGAGGTTTAATCCTCACTGTCATATT